CTGGAAGATTTTGGGATGATTTTGAAGCTAAATGAGCTAGGGTATATATAGTTGAAACTTAGGGACTAATCTTTGAAAATACCCTAAAATACAATGATTAAATGTGTGATTATCCCATTGCTCAAATTCAATGAATTCAAGCCACCCCACTTGCTCAGCCGCCCATTTAGCTAGCAGCCCATGTGCTGCCTTTGTTGGAAAATATCAAGCAAAGCCAGTGCCCCCACCAAGCAAGCTGGTGCCCCCCTTTGACTTTTCTTCCAACAATCTCCCACTTGAAGACTGATTTTAATCTGTCTTCACACCTTGATCAATGCAGCAACATTTCCGGTCTTGTTATTCTAGCATGCCAACTGAAGCTGAACACAACTTCAGTTTGTCTGTAGTCACCGTCTTTGTCAACATGTCTGTCGGATTTTGAGCTCCACTAATCTTTTCAAGTTTTAAAATCCCATCTTCCAGAAGAGACCGGATAAAATGATACCGTAATTGTATGTGCTTCGTCCTGGAATGAAAAGACGGATTCTTCGCTGGATGGATAACACTTTGACTATCACAATACAAGACATTATTTTTTTGTTTCTTGCCTAACTCTTCCAAGAAACTTTGGAGCCAAACCATCTCATTGGTGGCTTCCGTAACAACGACATATTCTGCTTCAGTGGTGGAGAGAGCAACTATCTTCTGTAGTTGAGAAACTCAATTCACTGCAGTACCTCCTAGAGTATAGACATACCCTGTAGTGCTCCTTCTGATGTCAACATTTCCGGCTAAGTAAGCATCTACATAGCCTGTCAGTATCGTATCTCCACCTTTGAAACAAAGTGCTTTGTTTGTAGTACCCGCAGATATCTGAGGATCCATTTGACAGCTTCCCAGTGTACTTTGCCCGGATTATTCATGTACCTGCTAACAGCTCCCACTGCATGAGCAATATTTGATCTGGTACAAACCATGGCATACATCATACTTCCAATTGCTGAGGCATACGACACCTTCACCATGTGTGCACGTTCTTCCTCCGTCTTTGGTGACTGTTCTTTAGAGAGTCTAAAATGAACACCTAAAGGTTACTGGTTTAGCATCTTGCATATTGAACATGGAGAGTACTTTGTTGATATACTCAGCCTGTGATAACATCAAAGTCCTCAACTTTGTGTCTCTCTTGATCCTCATCCCAAGAATTTGCTTGCTGCACCCAGATCTTTCATTGCAAACTGCTTCGACAATTTTTGCTTCAAGTTTATAATCTCTTGCATGTCTGAGCCTGCAACGAGCATGTCATCAACGTACAACAATAAAAAATTAAGTTATTGTCGAACCTTTTGATGTAGCAACAATGATCTGCTTGGCATCTGGTAAAACCACTGTTACTCATGAAGCTATCGAACTTCTTGTACCATTGTCTAGGAGCTTGTTTTAAACCATACAAGCTCTTCTTCAACCTGCATACCAGGTTTTTCTTGCCTGCCTCTATGAAGCCTTCTGGCTGCCTATAGATTTCTTCCTCCAAATCACCATGAAGGAAAGCTGTCTTTACATCTAACTGCTCAAGATGTAAATTCTCTGCAGCTACAATTTTCAACACCAGTCTGATAGTAGACAGTTTCGACTGGAGAGAAAATTCATTGTAGTCAATACCTTCTTTTTGCTGAAAACCATTGACAACCAATCGCTTTGTAACGTTTGCTCCCATCGTGCTCTTCTTTGATCTTGTAAATCCACTTGTTGTGAAGCGCTTTCTTGCCTGGTGGTAATTCAGCTAATTCCCACGTCTGATTTGACATAAGCGAGTCCATCTCATCTTTCATGGAAGACTCCCACTTGATTGAATCCTCCACTTGCATTGCTTTATCATATCACTCTGGTTCACCATTGTCAGTTAGCAACAAGTAGTGCAAAGAATGAGAATATCGTTAGGTTGGTTTAGGAATTCTGGAGGAGCGTCTTAGTTCTGGTGTGCCTGGTTCTTCTTGAACTGCTTCATGACTGATCTGAACATTATTTCCAGAATCTCCTCGAACTCAGCAAATTCCTTTGTTTCAGCTTTGGTATTGGAGCTGCTTGATTATACAGTTGATCTGTCTTTGTACATCACATCTCATTGAAAATGACATCTCTACTTCTGATGATCTTCCGATTTTCATAGTCCCAAAACCGGTAACCGAACTCATCACCGTCGTAACCAACAAATGCACATTTGTTGGACTTAGCATCAAGTTTACTTTTTTCAGCAGAGTCTATGTGTACATAAGAAATACAACCAAACACTCTTAAGTGTGAAATGTTTATTTCTTTCTTGCTCCAAACTTCCTCTGGTATTCTGCCATCCAAAGGAAACTGAGGGCCCACGGTTGATCAGGTAAGCTACAGTGTTGATAGCTTCAGCCCATAGAAATTTGGGCAATCCGACATGTATCCTCATGCTTCTGGCACGTTCATTTAGAGTTCTGTTCATGCGCTTGCTACGCCATTCTACTGCGGTGTCATGGGAACTGTTGTATCCATCTTGATCCCATTGTTTGCATAGAAGTCTCTGAATCTCCTATTTCTGTACTCTCCCCCATTGTCAGACCTCAATCGCTTGACTTTCAGACCAGTCTCATTTTCCACCATGGCCTTCCATTTTCTGAAGGTATCAAAGACTTCTGATTTCTTCTTCAGAAAATAAACCCACACCTTCCTTGTAGAATCATCGATGAAGGTGACATAATATAGTGAGCCTGCAAAAGATGGAACTGGAGATGGTCCCCATACATCAGTGAACCAACTCTAACTTTTCAGCATTGGGTGTATTACTAATCTTTGCAAAGCTGACTTTCTTTTGTTTGCCAAAGATGCAATCATCGCATAGTCTGACATCTACATTCTTTAGATCCGGCAACTTCCCTTTTGACAAAAGCGTCTTCATCCCTTTCTCGCTCATATGGTCAAGCCTTTGGTGCCATAGTTTTGATTTTCCATCAGCATCTGCGACTGCAATGATATTCTCTAAATTTGAGGTTACATAGAGAGTATCAGTTTTCTTACCACGAGCAATGACGAGTGATCCTTTGGTAATCTTCCATTCACAGTCTGAAAAAGTTGTGCTATATCCTTCTCCATCAAGCTGTCCAACAGAAATCAAATTTCTTTTGAGACCAGGAATATGTCTCACACCTTTCAGCGTCCAGGTGGTCTGGTTTGGCAACTTTAATCGGATGTCTCATTTTCCGACGATCTTCAAGGTTATCATCGGCTAGATGAACCTTCCCAAAATCACCACTGACATAGTTCTCCATGATTTCTCGGCATGGGGTGGAGTGGAAAGATGCCCCTGAATCCAAGATCCATGATTCAATAGGAGTGTTGACGCTTAGAATCATGGGCACCTGTATCCTCTGTCATGTTGGCAGATTCCTGTGCACCGGTATCTTTCTTCAATGCTCGACAATCTCTTTTAAAGTGACCCTTCTTGCCACAATTATAACATGTAAAATCTTTTTTTCCTGTTCTTGATTTGCCCCTTCTGGATTTCGATCTGCCACGATTTGAATTTCTTTATGAAGTTCTCCCTCTGGACTCCGTGTGCAAGGCTGAGGAGGTTGATGCTTCACCCGATTCTCTCCGTCGAATTTCTTCGCTCAGTACCAGATCCCGAACATCGTCGAATTTCAATTTACTATTTCCTGACGAGCTGCAACTGCTGTAACAGTAGCATTCCAATTGTCTGGTAAATATGATAAGAGAATTAAAGCTCGAACTTCATCATCGAATTCAATTCCACGGAACTCATGGGTTGTGATTGTGCTGAGTTCATTCAAGTGTTGAGCCACTGATGCCAATCCGCAAATTGAATAATCGCCTCATCAAATGAACTTTGTTGAGGTCGATTGCTTCTTATACATACTGGAGAGAGCCGCCATAAGACCGCCGTGGTCTTTTCCTTTGCTATGTTGAAAGTAACATTCGGGACAACGTCATTCGGATAACCGAGGGCTATTCGGTCGAGAAGAGCCCAGTTTCATTCTTCATGCCCTTTGGTTGCTTTCCTGAGAGGGGTTGATATAGATTTTTCTGGTACAGAAAATCTTCGATCTGCATCTTCCAAAAACCAAAGTCCGCACCATCGAACTTTTCAATTTTCACCTTCCCTTCGTCTGCAGCCATCGCTCCCACTCAAATCTGGCTTCTTCGGATCATTTCTGACAATTTATGCGAACCACCGTGTATTACACATCCGTCGACAAATTCGTATCGCCGACAAAATTTCACTATTCACTAAATTTATATTCACGTGAATAGTAATGAATAGTAACCTCGCAAAAAATTGACAAAATTCACAACCTAAAAGCTCTGATTACCAGTTGTTGGGAAATAAATGAGTAACAAGTAATTTCCCTATAGCCAGATTAGTGAGAATACGAAAAAGCGGGAAAATAATACCCGAAAAATTGATAACGGAGTTCAACCAATTGTGCTTACGTCTCCGGACTGCTGCAGATCTTTTACTAAAGGGAAAAAATTAAGGGTTTACAAAACACACTTGAGAGAGAACTGGAAGATTTTGGGATGATTTTGAAGCTAAATGAGCTAGGGTATTATAGTTGAAGCTTAGGGACTAATCTTTGAAAATATCCTAAATACAATGATTAAATGTGTGATTATCCCATTGCTCAAATTCAATGAATTCAAGCCGCCCACTTGCTCAGCTGCCCATTTAGCTAACAGCCCATGTGCTACCTTTGTTGAAAAATATTAAACAAAGTCGGTGCCACCACCAAGCAAGCTGATGCCCCCTTTGACTTTTCTCCCAACATTTAACCCAATGGTATATTAGTCCCGTGGATAATGGGATGTTACTTTTTTGTCTAGTATCGAATAGATACGAATTCATTAGTTATTCCTCTTCCATGTCGGGACACAATCCAATATTAACATCCCTCCACCTCACCAAGACTAAAATTTGTAGAACTTGTAGACAATCACTATAAACACTATACAATATGTCAATTGTACACGAAACTAAACTAAAACCAAGGTTCACTAAATCATATTACAAATACATCAAAGATTGTTATTTAAAGAATAAGATTAACGTATGACTCATTATCAATATCAACTAAAGCGTTAGCTAATTTTAAGTTCCGAGCATGAAAATTTACTCGTAATTGCTAAAATACTTTTAAAATGAATAACTGCTAACATTTCTTTTCCGTCAATCAATAAAATTTTACTATATAAATAAATAATTGATCTCGAATACCAATTTCGTAATAATCTTAATAAGGTTATATTGGGGGTAAATAATCCACTTGTTGTGGAGAGTCGGGGTATAAAAATTGTTTCTGACCCTTGGAAACTCGTGATCCAACCTATGTATAGAACCATTAACTCTTGGTTTAAAACAAGTTGGTGTGATAAAGAAGTGAAAGGGTCCATTTGTTTGCCATGTCAAGGAGCTTGAAAACAATGCAAAAGTAAACACACTAATGGAAATAGTGGATCTCAAGAGGATAATTAAGATGCAACTTTATCTCCACGGTTGAGTTGTAAGACTTGCGTGGAAGATGGATAATCACATTAATACTTTATAGAGATTTAAATTATAATCGCACGTACGAATCATGTAAGAATCAAATGATTTTAGTGTTTACAATATATTGTTATCATTTGAAGTTTCAGATTCGAATATCATATACGCAAAAATATAAACATTAATTATCAAAAAGTTATAAATCTTTAAACATATATTATCTTAGCTTCCAGCACAATAACATTATGTAAACCTAATTCAAGGACAGGCTGGTTTGAATTAAGTTTATGCATGTTATCATATAAGTAAACAATGATTCTTTCAATCCAAAACTGGCACCCTTATTTTAGATTGTTTGAGGTCCACAGTGACCCTTTTCACTGATGGTCTCCTTTTAAACTCAGCCCTGTCAGACTGCCGGCTACATCCTTTTTAGTACAAAAAAAAAAACCCTGAAATGTTATCTAACAACACAAGTGAAATACTGGCAATTCTGATGTTTTTAATGGTCATTTGGGACAAATATGAATGATTGCCTGTACAAAAATTGCTAGTGGAAAAGCTTCTTATCAACTTCGTCAGTTTCCACTTCCCACCCTTTTGGGGTCCCTCCATTGCTACCCCAACATACATCAATATAGAATACTCTTCTTCCTCGTTACTCTTTGACTGCAGTCTTCGACTTGTATTTTTATATCAAACATCAAAGTATATAATAAAAATATAGTAAAGGACGTTGTTAAAAGTCATGAACTTATATTCATTTTTATTAACTTATAATAAAAATAATATTTTAAATATAATTGAAAGATAAAAGAGATATTAATCATTAAATTAATATCTTTGTTATCCTCTTCACAATTGTTAATATTGCACTAATAAAATTTTGTAGCCGTTCAAAAAATTAATAATTATTTAAAATTTTAATAATTATATAATATTTTAATATAATTCAACAATCTCTGATTTTTTTATCTATAGAATATTTATTAAAGTAATTAAAACCAGCTTATAGAATGGAAGACATTCTTGAAAATTAGGAGTCGGAATGTCCTCCTTTGATGAGTATATTAATTAAGGATTTAAATGTTCGGGTCGGTCGAATTCGGGTTTAGGTTAAAAATACTCGACATGACCCGACCCGACCCGGAAAAATGATTTTATCTTATATATTAGGAATAATTATAATAATACTCTTCTATATATTATTTTTTTTCAATTAAATCACAGTTTTTATTGAATAATAATATTTTTATTATTTCGGATCAGATTGGATTCAGATTTTATCTTAAAAAATCATGTCAATTTCGGGTTGGGTGAATAATATAAATTTTTAGGTCAAATCAGATCGGCCAAAATTCAACCTATGCCCCCTAACAGTGATAAAAATCGGAATGCAAAGTGGATGGGTATTTGAATAAAATAAGCGCCATAAAAACCAGTAAAAGCAAAAAAGAATAAGAGCATCCTATGACTATGACCATCTCGTCTAATCTTATTCCTCCCGCCCTCTTTCAAACGTACAGCTTTTATTTATTTAAAAATAATAAAATGATCAACGAAATTGGTTCAAGTAGTTAACAATTTGATATTATTTAAATAGGCATCGAGTCAGAATCTTTACGTATGCATAAAATTATATTGGGATTCATCCACCAAAATCATATTTCGATACATGTTCTTACTTCTTACCTAAATCGTTTTGTTTCAAACTAAGATTTATAAGAGAATAAAATCTAAATCATATACGTTTAAGCATCAACATCTCATTAGTATCTTTTATTAAGGGTTAGCTACCGGATTAATAGATTCTCTTTATTTATATTGGGAGATTCATCTACCAAAATCATGTTTCGATACATGTCTTACTTCTTACCTCAATCGTTTTGTTTCAAACTAAGATTTGTAAGAGAAAAATCTAAACCATATACGTTTAAGCATCAACATTTCATTAGTATCTTTTATTAAGGGTTATCTACCGGATTAATAGCTTCTCTTTATTTTTGTACCCTTTCGTTTTTAAGATTTAAAACAAAGAGTTATGTTTTAGGTTTTTACGTTATTGATTTATTAATTTTTGATCATTTACGTTATTGATTATTATATTTTGGTCATTGAATTTTAACTCCTATTAATTTATGACCTGACACATTAACAAACATGTTTAATTTTTAAGTGACCCCTTAACTTTAGATATAATATTAATTTAAACAAAAAAGTAGATGAGATATCACTTTGACCCCTAAAATTTAGATAAAATACTAATTCAACCCATAAACTCGAGACATTTAAAAATAAAAACTATTTTCTAACAACTGATGTTGCTTGATTCATACTGATTTTGTCTCTTAATCCTTGAGAGAATATTTGAAAACATTCGGAAAAAAAGAACATGATCTTTGTATCATTCAACTTGTAATATGGTTCATATTGATTGGTAAAGTTTATAATATGATATCAAAATGAAGCATGTTATGATAAGTGAAATAATTGCCCTTTTCCCTACTCATTTAAAAAAAAATGCGTTTTCCAACTTCAAAGTGCTTCTAAATATTATTGCAAGGGTCCAGAAATAAAAATCTTAATACTGGTAAGAAGTTTGATATTATTTAAATATGTATAGTGTTTGAATCTTTGTGTATGTAAAAAAGAAAAGTTTCAAATATATAAATATTTAAATAACCATTTTAAATTTTTAATAGTCAGGGGACTTGTCAAATTATTTTGTAAATTTTAATATATATGAGACTCAACAAATCATATATATAGTCGAGAGATTATTTGTATAATTTAAAAAATTATATAATAAATTTTCAATGTTCACATTGATGGCCTTACTGGTCAACAACTTCATTGTGCTGTTAAAAGACGGAGGAGAATCTATCTTTTTTCTTTATGGAATATTTAAGGGTAGCGGTGCGGCGCCTAAAAAACGACTAATATACGGTGTGACGGTTAAACAAGTAACCGGTTAAAATTTAGATCAATTATGTTATATTATTTAACCGGAAATATTATAAAGTACAATAACATACTAGGTAGCGTTTATAATGTAATAGGTAGGCTTATATTTACCTATTTTATAAGTAAACCGGTATATTTATACCGATAGCATTGCAAATTTACCTAATACATTATAATATGTTGAAAGTGTCCATACTTTTTATAAAAAGGATCGATAATTTTTTTTTAAAGTTATGTAATTATGTTTCAATTTTTTAATAGTGTTTCATGTTTTCCACCTACAATATTAATTTAATAATTTCATTTGCACAAAAAATTATTTGATTGTTTTGATATTTTATAAAATAATATTTAAAATTTAAATTTAACAATATTAACCAAAGATAATAATAAATATGTAATATATGTTTATTGTTTTTAATTTAATAATAATATATCGTAACGTAAAAATAAATAATTAGACGCCTATAATTACTAAATTAATATCTTAAACTCACTCAAAATATAACCTTAAATTAATGTTTTCTACAGTGAAAAAAGTATGGACACTTTTATAAAAAGGATAGATACTTTACAACTACCTATTACATTATATAAACGATACCTATTACATTATATAAGCGCTACCTATTACATCATATTTTTACCTATTATATTGAAAGTGTCCATACTTTTTATAAAAAGGATCGATACTCTTTTTAAAGTTATGTAATTTATGTTTCAATTTTTTTAATAGTGTTTCATGTTTTCCACCTACAATATTAATTTAATAATTTCATTACACAAAAAAATATTTGATGTTTTGATATTTATAAAATAATATTTAGAATTTAAATTTAACAATATTAACCAAAGATAATAATAATATGTAATATATATATGTTTATTGTTTTTAATTTAATAATAATATATCGTAACGTAAAAAATAAATCATTAGACGCCTATAATTACTAAATTAATATCTTAAAACTCACTCAAAAATAACCTTAAATTAATGTTTTCTACAGTGAAAAAAATATGGACACTTTTATAAAAAGGATATATACTTACAACTACCTATTACATTATATAAACGATACCTATTACATTATATAAGCGCTACCTATTACATCATATTTTACCTATATATTGAAAGTGTTCATATTTTTTATAAAAAGGACCGATACTCTTTTTAAAGTTATGTAATTATGTTTCAATTTTTTTTAATAGTGTTTCATGTTTCCACCTACAATATTAATTTAATAATTTCATTTACACAAAAAAAAAATATTTGATTGTTTTGATATTTTATAAAATAATATTTAGAATTTAAATTTAACAATATTAACCAAAGATAATAATAAATATGTAATATATATATGTTTATTGTTTTTAATTTAATAATAATATATCGTAAACGTAAAAAATAAATCATTAGACACCTATAATTACTAAATTAATATCTTAAACTCACTCAAAAGATAACCTTAAATTAATGTTTTCCACAGTGAAAAAAGTATGGACACTTTTATAAAAAGATAGATACTTTACAACTACCTATTACATTATTAAACGATACCTATTACATATAAGCGCTACCTATTACATCATATTTTTACCTATTATATTGAAAGTGTTCATACTTTTTATAAAAAGGACCGATACTCTTTTTAAAGTTATGTAATTTATGTTTCAATTTTTTTTAATAGTGTTTGTTTTCCACCTACAATATTAATTTAATAATTCATTTACACAAAAAATTATTTGATTGTTTTGATATTTTATAAAATAATATTTAGAATTTAAATTTAACAATATTAACCAAAGATAATAATAAATATGTAATATATATGTTTATTGTTTTTAATTTAATAATAATATATATCGTAACGTAAAAAATAAATCATTAGACGTCTATAATTACTAAATTAATATCTTAAAACTCACTCAAAAATAACCTTAAATTAATGTTTTCCACAGTGAAAAAAGTATGGACACTTTATAAAAAGGATAGATACTTTACAACTACCTATTACATTATATAAACGATACCTATTACATTATATAAGCGCTACTTATTAAATCATATTTTTACCTATTATATTGAAAGTGTCCATACTTTTATAAAAATGATCGATATTCTTTTTAAAGTTATGTAATTTATGTTTCAACTTTTTTTAATAGTGTTTCATGTTTCCACCTACAATATTAATTTAATAATTTCATTTACAAAAAAAATTATTTGATTGTTTGATATTTTATAAAATAATATTTAGAATTTAAATTTAACAATATTAACCAAAGATAATATAAATATGTAATATAT